GCCATGGAAGTGTTTTGTAGATTTAGCCAGTGGGGCAGGGATTTGCAGCTCTGAAATTTGATTAGTTGTTTTTTTGTTTCCTTTTTAAAATTTAAATTAGAAACAAGATTCTTTTACATGTCAATCCCAGTTCCCTCTCTCTCCCCTGCTCCCCCACTCCTGACTGACCACCTATCCCATTCCCTTTCTGCTCCTCCCTGAGGGTGAGGCCTTCCATTGGGAATCTTCAAAGTCTGTCATCAATTGTAGCATGGCCTAGGCCTTCCCCTGTGTATCTAGAATCCCTCTGTGTGGAGTGGGCTTCCTGTAGTGTTCTCTGTCTGTTGCAAGGAAAAGATTCAGTGATGAAGGAATGACTACACTATTTTTTGTGCTGGTTGTATGAGGAGATATTTTTCTAGATTCTTGTTAGAGATTATACTGATTTAGCAAATTAGTAGCAGGCAGTTTGAACACTCAATAGTAGTTCTTTACAGTGAGTCAACTAGGTAGATCATTTTAAGCTTGTCATGTGCAGAAGACATAGAAATTAGCAAGAGAGTCACTAGTATAGGGATGACTTTAAAACATTACAGACACACTTTGGGTCACAACTCAGTAAGATAATTTCTTTAATCTTAAGTAGTTTTTAAACCTTTATTTGAAAAAAAACATGTTTAATATTCTTATTGTTTTGGTAGTCTATTTTTAACAACATACAAACATATCCCAATAGTTCAAATTTTGGGTTGGTGACTCACTGTATACATAAACCTTCACATTCAACTGCAATAACATAAAATTTCTGTCATTTCTAGAATATACAGAAACATAAAATTTATTTTTATATGTATAGTTTGGACATTGATTTAAATATTCCCACCCAATTTATACTTTCCACCATGGGGACAGTCCATTAAATGGTATTTGAGGCTTTGTGTGTCTGGTGTGTGTGTGTGTGTGTGTGTGTGTGTGTGTGTGTTTGTGTTTGTGTTGATTTTTGTGGCAATGAAGAAAACCATTATCTTTCAAACTTGACTGCAACAACTTATTCCTGAGCAACATCTCCAACATGTGAGTAGGAATAATATCCGGAGAGTCACATGAGTATCCTTAGGGAGGACTTTAGTCATTGGGTTCACCTAATCTGAGTCCTAAAAATTCATTTTATCTTGTCATTTTCCTTTATATAATACAGTACATCATTATTTAACTAGCATTTAATTATACTTAAATATATTATCTATAATACATATTTGTAAATATTTTGTTATATTCATTATATATTATGGATATTTGACTATACTTACTTTCTAGAATATTACATCTAATGAACACACATACACAGACACACACACACACATATATATATATACATATATATGTATATATATATAGGATAGACAAATATTTTCATATACTAATTAATATAAACCAAATATGCAAACTGGCCAATTATGCAAACATAGTATTTCTGTATATACTTTATGGTAATGACTTAACTGTTCTCCAAGATTATATATAATATGTAATTGATCTTATAAAACATTCGTATAATGTCTTCGGGAATGGATTAGTGTTATAATAGTGTCAATGAATGGTTAAATAATTTAATAAATACTCTCAAGCAAATGAATGAACTCTAAAGTTCTCTGAAGCAGAAACTGGATAGCAATTTACTTTTACATTGGTTATCAAACAAAATCAACAAAGCAAAAATTGACTGTCTGCTTATTTCTTTCCCAATATCTGTGATTTTTATTCTTTATGATGTTTTCTCTAAGGACTGGAAAGAATTAAACTGGATATAGCTAATCAATCTCATTTACTTTCTGGGCCTAGTATTTGGATTATGAAAGCACGAAAGCTAGGCTGAATTTTAAATGAATTCAAGTATAAATTCATTAGAAGTCAGTGTTTCTGGGTCTGTGTTGTTTTATCTACAGTCTTTATTGTTTTTTAAAAATATTCATTAAATGAAAAATGCATATCTTATAATAATGTTAGTAATTATTCTTATATCTGTAAAATGTGTTTGAAATGAAGAGTTTTTCAGTCATGCCTGGCATGTATGCTCATAAGGAAACATATCAGCAGAACTCCTCTGTCTGGCACACTATCTTCCTGTATTAAAAGGGGTACTTCGTTATGAATGGATGCTTTTTGGATTAAGTTCAGAATTGAGCTGTTTTCATAAAATTATTTCTATTTTGTTCAGAATCCCAGGGGTACTGGCATAATCTAATGGCATTCCTGTACAGGATCTCCCCATATTTCTTTGTGATCAACAATTTAGGAATCTATTTAAATATCTTCAATAACACTCTGTTATCCTTTATCTTAGGGAAAGAAAGTTTATTACTTTTTTCTTCCTTTGTCCTTCATTTCAGGTTTAACAGACTGATATAGACATATCTTGTTTATCTTATAATTTACTTATTACTTATTACTTATAATTTACTATCATTCATAAACAGCATTTTAGTTAACAGATTTTATCCTGCAATAAAAATTGCAAATTTATTTTTGAATGTTTGTTGATCTCACTATTCCATACTATGCTTTTGTTAAAATATTCTTTCTATTTAATGTATGAATGTAGTTTAGGGTGTATCAACATTATTACTGTTGTGACAGTTAAGGTTTTCAGTGTAGTATATAAAAAGAGTCAAATGTCATATCCTGATCACATTCCTCAAACTACACAATTGGAAAAAGACCCCTTCATAAGCTCCAGAAACTGATAGAGTCATTCACAGACTATGGAAGATGGCCCAACTTTTAAGTCATGTAAAGTTACTCAGATAAAAGGAGACTACCTTAAATGCCCTCCACTGATAATGAGATTGATGACTCTCTTATATGCCATCCTATAACCTTCAACCAACAGCTGGTGAAAGTAGAAGCAGACACCCACAACTAATCACTGAATTGGTATTCAGTTCCAGAGAAGGACGAGTGAAAAGCAAAGGGGTCCAGACCAGGCTAGTGAAACCCTCATAAACAGCTGACCTGAACATACATCATGAAACTCTTGCTCCACAGACTGATAGATGGAATATCAGCATGGGACTGATCCAGACCCCAGGAACATGGGTTTCTGTGAGGAAACCTCGGAATTCTGCGGGACCTCCTGTAGTAGTTCAGTACTTATCCCTTGCATAGTTGTGGATATTGGGAGTCCATTCCATGTGGAGGAATACTCCCTGAGCCAAGACACACAGGGGTGGGCCTAGGTCCTATCCCAAAGGATACAATAGACTCTGCTGACACCCTATGGAAGACCTCACCATCCAGGGTGAGCAAAAAGGATATGTGATAGATAGGGTTTTAGTTGGGGGTGTAGGGGAGGACAGGAGGGAGAAGGGAACTGGATTGTCATGTAAAAACAATCCTGTTTGTAATTTTAAAAAAATGTTGAAAAAAAAGTAGGCTTTTGGAATCTACAAATTGGATTTCTAAAGTTTGAACTAATACTTTGTTATTTTCACTCTTAAAATTCCTCCAGTGAGGAAATATGTTGAGTACGCCACTGTCTTATGTAGTGACTCAAACTGCAGTACATTGTCTAAAACCTCACAGATTTTTGTTCATTCTTTTAAAGCAATGAATTCTAATACTCGTCTCTTGCTTTTAAATCTAGATTTTCTCCCCCACATAATTTTATTCACATTCTATTAATGAGCTACTGTAATGGAAGAATTTCAAAATCAGTCTTGACCTTTCCTTTGTCACTTTTGCTCTCAGTGTTGGACTAACTGATGTCCACAATTACAGAATACATTTGTCTACAACTTTACCAGAAGCAAAACTGATATTAACTTGCATCAGTGATAGGCAAGCCAAGAACATCAGATCATGATTAGCATTCATAAACAACCTGTTTATATATTTCAAATTCAAAAGCCATGTAGAATTGAAGATTGCACCTTAAAAGAGTTTTGAGAATTCAATAATAAGCAAACAAACAATTCCCTACTCTCCCCACCTAAAAAGAATCACTCTTAAGTGATTGAACTCTCCTATGTTAAAGTTGATAGGACTATCATCTTAACTGAAAAAACTGTGTGCATTTAGCATTTCTCTGCTTTTGTGTTGCAAAGGGTTCCCTAAAAAGAGAAATGTTAACAGGATATCATTAAGAACTCAATTTGTACAACTAAATGTGTCCATGTGTCTTCCAGACGCTCAGCCCCCAAGAAAATGACAACAGTTTAATTGTGTTTCTGTTTTATAGAATGATGAATGTGAGGTAGCACTTCAGAAACAAACATAGATTTTTTTTCCTAAAAGACACTAGAAGATAAATTATCATATGGCCTAGGAATTCCATTTTGGGGGTACTGACTTGGGATATTTAATAATTATTTGTGGAAGAACTGAGATGTTGATTTTTTTTTTCTCTTTGGGTTTTTGAGGGGCCTGCCAACAAGCTCCCAAATAAATCGCACATGGAGGCTTAGTCTTAGCTATGAATGCCTGGACTTAGCTTGGGTTCTTCTTGGCCTTTACATCTTTTCCTTCTTGGCTTTTGTCTTTCTTACTTCTACACATATTGCTTTTCTTGTTAGTACATGGCTGTCTGGGTGTCCAGGAGCTTGAGTGTCTTGTCCCTGATATCCTACTTTCTTTGTTCTCTCATTGCTCCTCCTTCATTTCTCCTTCTATTTATACTCTCCGCCTACCAGCCCCTGCCTATCCTTGCTTCTTACTCACTATTGGCCATTCAGCTCTTTATTAGACCATCAGGTGTTTTAGACAGGCACTGTAATACAGGTTTTCAGAATTAAACAAATGCAACAAAAAGACGCACACCTTAACACAATAAATATCCTAACAGACTGGAAGGAGCTCAGAATGAGAAAATCAGTATTAAAATATAGCACCTGAACAAAAATGTAATTTTAATAACAAAATATGGCCCAGGCCGAACAGAACATTCTTTCCCAGAAGGACTGTCAAAGTTTACTGTTCAGGGTGAATTGTATCTCTGTAAAGGTAATTACAATTAATTACAATACCTTTCAGATTGTGTCTGGCTGCCATCTGGTTGCTCCGAAAAGATTCTGGGGACATCTCAGAAAATAGACACATCTATCTCCAGCAGTTCTTGAAAACTGGGCTGAAACTACATATAAAATTTCCCAAACCTCATCACACCCTCAGCTCTTGAAGTTGTCAAACAATGGTTACATCACACACACACACACACACACACACACACACACACACACACACACACACACACACTAAAATAAACAAATAAATATTTAAAAAATATTCTGTAGGGGAAGCTGTAGCCATGCCTACTTAGGGGCTGGCTACATGTGTGCCTGACCACGCTTTCGAGGGTGTGGTCAGGGTGACTAGATCGAGACTTTCGACTCGCTTTTGGTTTCACTTTTGGGCTTGCATAAAGACAACTGCCATGCCAGCTGGCTAGGTTGCTCTGTAAGTAAGGCTTTTCCCTATTAAATACCCTTATATTTCTACCTGACTCCGTATTGGTAATTTCCCACTATAATATTCTATTATTTGTTCATAGTCTGCATTGTTGTCTGACTCTTGCCAAGGTATACACTGAATAAAGACCATTGTGTCCATGAGGGAAGGCATGCAAATCAACTGTTGTAATACAAAATCTTCCCTCCCCTCCCTTTTCCAATCCAATTTACAAATTTTATCAGAGATATTGTCACTAGCTGTTGATTTCTTAGGATTAAGAATGCTAATAAAGACTTTCTGCTATGGAAAAAATTAAAAGAGTAGGCAAGATGACATAGTGACAGAGTATGTGGAAGTGCTTGGCAACAAACCTGACAAGCTGAGTTTAATCCCTAATACCCATATGATATAAGGAGAAAACCAAACTACAGAAGTTTTCTTCTTTTCCTCTACTAGATCAATGTGGAAAATGTGTATACATATACAAACTCACTTAAAAACATAACAACATTTTTAAATAGTTATCATCACTCCCATGCTCACTGCAATGATATTCGTATTAGCCAACAATTGAAACCAACAGAAATTTCATGTCATGGAAAAAATCAATTAGCAAAGTCACACACACATCCAAATATTAAAGTAGAAATATTGTACAATATGCCATAGTATAGACAAACCCTCTATAATCTATGTTAAGCAAAATTAGCCCATCATACATTTATGAATAATGAATGAGTCATCATACTTATAGGAAAAAGGAAAAATCATTAAATAAATTTATGTAAAGCATTAAAAGGTGTTTGTTGAGAATTGAGAATTAAAGAGGATTGAAGGACTATTAAAATTATGTATAAATTTTAATTTATATGATATGAGTTTATCCTAGACATCTATTGCATAACCTGTATTCACAAATAATAAAGCTCTTTTCATTGAAATAATTCCAAATACTACCCTTTGTAAATTTACTCAAAACTTTTCAAGTGAAAAAAGTTGATCAAAATAATGAAGACAATGACTTACTAATGCTTACAGAAAATTCAACAAATGCAATTGCACTTAAACTTAATAAAAACTAGGATTTTCATATCAACCAACATAATAAAATGATTCCAATTAAAGACTAGTTAGCACTTTAGTGAATAAAATGGAATGATTTAGAAAAGTAGCTAGAACAGCTGAAGTAAAATTGTGGCAAATACAGCTCTAAGCTATAAAACTCATCTTGCTGCAGTTCATAAATGTAAAATTAAAATGATAATAATAAACTAATGTGTTCAGACTTTATTTGCACACATATTAATATATGCCATTTAAACTTGGCTTTACCTGGGCAAAAGGAGGGGAGTCCTTCAAATCTTTTGTCTACACACAGACAAAGACATACTATAAATTTCATTAGCAAAGTGTATTGGAGAAGTTATAACAAACCAAATAGAGTACAATAGCCTTAAAGTGAAAAAGAGAGCAAGTGAAATCCCTGGGAAGGCAGTTGAATACAGTACCTATGGGTATATATGGGTACAGCCCTGGGCCTAGAGAGGTGAATAAACAGGGACATGGGATGAAAACTAAAGGTGAGGTCAGGATTGTTACAAATTGTTTTTATTTGAAGAAATTTGTTCTGAAAATCAGGCCTTAAAATGAGGAAATGTGTTTTGATCTGAAATCAGTATATGCTAATATTCCTTTCTGTTATTCTCTCCCCCCTCTCTCTCCCTGCTCTTTCTCTTCTTCATTTTTCTCCTTTTCTGTCTCCCTCTTTTTCATTTTCCTTTATTTCTCCTGTCACCTGTATACATGTGCACGAAAACCCTATGGACAGTAGTAAAATAATTTGGGTAGAATTATCCAAAGCTCAAAATTAATGATATTTATTTTACTTCCTAGAAACTTAAAGATGTTTAGTACCATTTTGTATTATCAGAGTATAACTTTTTCTCCCTGCTTATTTATGTCACTGTACAAATCCCCTTTGAAATTTCACCAGAGACTTTGGGTATTCATTAGAAATGCAGAAATTACAAATTTTCATAAAATGTCTTGACAGAGGAAAACTCTAAAAAAAATGTTAGGTAATACTATCTGACAGCAGGTTATCTTTTAAATGCAATGAACAGAATGTAATGCAAAATGCAAATATTCATGGATATTTTTGGACTGTTAAGTAAATAAGAATATTGCATTATAGGAAAAGATGAAATGGGTTACAGAACCATAGAGATGTTACTAATATTACCTTATTGGCTAAAATTGTTTTCAAGTAACAGAGTGCTCATCAGGAGAAAGATTATACACATAAGCAAATGATAAAATGTTATTCTCAAATTTTTTATAAGCCACTTCTTAAAATGAATTATATATGCTCATATACTCTGCAGTTTATAAAATAATTTTTGCTTAAGAATTTTATGTATACAAATAATGTGTTTTGATTAGCTTTCCCCTATTTCCTTACCTCCAATCCCTGTTAATTTCATTTGTCTTTCCTTTATACAAGGTCATGGAAAGATATTTTTATAAACAAGGACATCTTTAATCGATTTATATTGTGCATATTATTAGTTGTTGTAGTTTATTTTTGATATTGTAATTTAATCACAAATATTCTCCCTTAACTTTCTGCCCTTCAATTACTGCCCTGTACCCCCCTCTTTTAAAATTCAAGATGTCTTTCCCATTAATTTTTAATGCATGTAAATTTGCATTTTTATATACATATATAGTCCTAAATCCTTCAATGAATGTATATAATGGCTCAAATGAAAGTGAATCTTCATGTGTTGTACCAAAGAATCTTGCTGTTGTAGTTTATTTATAAAATAATTCATAGGTGATTTTTCATTAAGCCAGCATATATATTTGAAAAAAAATAAAATAAAAAGTGACAATATTGCCAGGTGCTGGTGGCACACCCCTTTAATCTCAGCACTTGGAAGGCAGAGGCAGGTGGATCTCTGTGAGTTTGAGGCCAGCCTGGTCTCCAGAGTGAGTGCCAGGATAGGCTCCAAAGCTACACAGAGAAACCTTGTCTTGAAAAAAAAAAAGGGACAATATCTCTGTATAGTATGACATTGATATTTGGCTCTATTTTATGAAAGGCAACCAGAATTAATACTGTAATTGATTTAAAATGTGTACCTGTTAAACTTGGGTAGAATTATCCCACCTTAAATCATTACTACTTTATATAAGAACGAAATAAGAATAAATGTGCCCCATGATCCTATTCTTTCCTCTGTAACACTATGTTATGAATGACTTGAACCTACTGTTATTTGCTTCCTTGTATTTTCTCACTAGCAGTTAAGGATTCTTTGAAGTCCAAGGTTGCTGTTGTATAATTGATCAAAGCTTTGAAACTGGGTAGGGCATTAAGAGCTGGGATTCTGAATTGTCAGTCCATCCCCTCTTTTTTGACCATGCATGTTTCTAGACAGATTATTAAATTTATTTTAAAAAGAAGGAAAGAAAACAATTTCTCAATTCAATATCTGTAGGAAGCCGGTTCCTACATTATAATGCTGCCTGAAGACACCAAGGTGTAAATTACTTCACAGGCGCTGGGTAATCTCCATTCCTTTGATCTCTGCCTATCCCGTGGCTCATTTTAGCCTGAGGAGCTAAAGCCATTCATAGGGTAATACGTACCAGGCGGCTGGTCAGCCTTTATATAAGGGATGGGTTTCTTAGTTCAATGTCTCTGCTCAGTCTCTGCTCAGTCTCTGTTCAGTCTAATGAATTAAAGCTTGTCTGCAGAAGGATCCAAGTGTCCTGCGTGTATTTCTTGCTGGCGAGGAATACAGAGCGGGCGCGGGACAAATATCACTAGCACCTAAGAAAAAAAAGTTTTAACAGCCCATTGCAGAGGAAAATTTAGACACATAAATTTGGACAGCTTAAAATATATTACTGAATAGACTTTCTTCATAATAACCATATAATTAATTTTGTTTCTTCTATTATGAAAATGAGTAACAATGCCAAACCTGACACACTGACATTAATCTTGTAGTATAAAATTAAGTCAAACTTATGGAGCTTTTTAGAGTTTGAACACTGCAAATAATACATATTTCATGTCCGAATAAAGCTGGCAGAGGTCATTCCAAATCCTAAGAATTTCAATGTAGTTCTTCCTCTGTACTGGCTGACAATGGCTCTGAAAGCATGAACCTGTGAAGCAAGTGTCATTCTGACTGCAAATACTGACTTCTAAAGTTTGTTTGAGGCTCTAGCCATGAAAGTGAGCAGAGATGAGAGTGATGTATTGCTCTGATACTGCCAAGACAACATTGATTTGATTGCCTCAACCAAGCTTAATTAAGTTGTGGTGAAAGGTGTTCCAGGAGGCATTGCAAGTGTCTGAACTCTGCTGTCATGGAACTAAGAATGGCGAACCAGTTGGGATGGACAGAAATGCAATAGTCTTTTATTTCCCTTTGTTCACCTGTTTCTTTAACTTTACCCTGTACCTCAACAAATTCTACTCTACCAAGTTCTCATCAGAATTCTGAAGATTAAATCAATTTTACTGAAGTGTGAAGAACCTATTTCCAAGCTACAACAGGATTTAATACATTGGCAAAATGAATTCTCATTTCCCTATGCATATAGATATCAAAATAAAATAGAGTAAACATTTCCTTTTAATGGAATATATATTGAAATCACTACCATTCTACTCTCAAAAACTAAAACACTGTTTCCAACTCTGCTTCTAAGGATCCCAATAAAAATCTTTATTTCACATAGATTATAATAAATTGGATATTTTAATTAAAGC